CCAAATCTAGTTTTCTCACCGGTTTTAGGCCACTTATTTTTCACCCCTCGGCTTTTTCAACAGAAAAAGAAAACATTTGCAAAAAAAGTGTGGTATTCCGTCTCAAAGCTGTGGGGGCACCGCCCCCACGGCCCCAGAGTTGGGGGGGCAAGCTGCCCCCACTGCCCCCCCGGCTCCCGCGCCTATGGTGGCATGTGTACCAATTGTTCTCCCTAACCCTTCTTACAACTTTGACTAGCAAGTAGAAGCTGGCAAAATGCAAGGAGCTTACAAAGCATGCCTATATGTAGATAACTGAGGATGATTCTCTCAATTGAAGCATGATCCGCACTCAGCAGCTTCTTCTGTTCTGTTCCACAAACTAAAACTGAAATGCCTCAATTTTCCTCAAAATATATTCATTTATCACTCATAAACAACAAAAATATACATTAAGTAGGTACCAGGGCAATAAAAAACATACAAGTTACATATTTTTTCATGTACCGTCCTTTCACAGCAGCAATATGTAGAAACGCACCAAGACGTTCACGGAGAGCCCACCCATAACAAACTATAGTTGAAGCCGGGGCTCTGCTGCAGCAGCAGGGGAGACGTACAGGACACAGAGGTCATGTCACAACATCATGTTGTACAACCTGTTGTTTGAAAAAACAGATCAACATAGATCTTGAAAAACTGTAGGTAGCGCTTTCTTCAGTCACTTAGGTAAGCTTTCTCGCAAGACGTTACATTAGATTGACCACTCTTGACAAAATAATCAGATTGAAACTTAGCTCTTGTGCCTGATGCACTTACATTTCAATTTATTGAAATAAAACACTCAAATTTACCCTTGAAAATTGTTGACATTTAAATGATATTAATCAAGATTTGATGATCAGCAAACAAGCTCAAGCTATTCAAATCACACCCAAATCAAAATAATAACTTTGGCAATGTTGATAACTCTTGCTGTCTTATTGAAAAGCAAATCTTCAATTTGTTCATATCCAAATTCAATGCCAAGCACTGAAATCTTGTTGCAAGGCCCTAAAAACAAGACAAAAACAAAACAGACAAGGCCCGTCTTGTGGAAATCGTCAGTGCGGTGCGGCGGCCTTGGCGAAATTTCCCAAGGCTGCTCTTTGTTTACATTTTAGTGATGGGCCAACTTGGCCGCCCAAGTACTTGTTTTGCGTGAGTAAGTACAATTTTGTCAATTTTGAAACGGCTATATCTCGCAAATTTTGGTACCGATTTACATTTTATGCATATATTTAGAATCGGCAGAGTCTGGGGAGTTCATTGATTGGAAATTTATGCCGATTCCTTTCAATTTTTTAACCCTGATAATCCCTTTAATTTCGAGCGAGCAAAATTGCATAAAGCTTTGCCGAGCTGACACGTCCTTCACTCAAACTGAGCCGGTGAAGAGTCTGGAGCACGGTACCATGTAACAGTGTACAGTGGACGTGTTATGTTACTATACCAACAGACGTAACAAGCCACGCTAGTTAATTAAGTGTACAATTTTTAGCAGAGGCGTATGTTATAATATGAGAGTCAGAGAAGCTACCTCACATGATATTGAAAGCTCTCACGCACGTGAAACTGTTTGAAATATATTTCAGAAGTTAAAGTAGTGTGACCGAAGCTATTCAGGCGAATGAATGCTTTGCTATAAACATGATTACTTTATTTCAATAGGCACATGGCGACTAGGCACGTCGGTTAGTTTTCTCTGTAGCGTGTCTGTATGTCTGTGTGCGCGTTGCGTGCTCTGCTAATGCGTGGGCCTTCAATATTGAGCTGTCTCGAACCGAGAACAAAGGGCCCGGCTCGGTCGCGTCCCGCCAGCTGCAGCTGCAGGGCAGACGCTCTGAATTGTGAATGACCCGGTCGAAGGCCTACATGGCTCATTCCGCGATACGGTTAAATCTTCAATGGCGCAGTCGTTTTGTTTCTAGGGAATAATCAGACGAATGTGTAGTATTTAGCATATAGATTAGAACTTCGATGAAGGAGAGCTGTGCGAATATCTACGTTAGTTCGGTGGTGTGCATTAATTGTACGAGCCTGGTTCTCGAGCGACGACCCCCCCCCCCCCCAACGACCATGTTTGAACCGCTTTCATTACGAGGAAAAAGCTGATGCATGACGATTACACATGACTCATCAAATTTCATGCTTATTTATAGACCATGTAATCTCGCATTGATGCGTTTGCACATATTGCTCTGGTGCAATTTGTCACCGAATCGATATTCATTTTCCAGCAGCATCCTGCAGCCAACTGCACTTGGTGCCCGATATCTTGCGGGGGACATATTCCACCGACTCTTTAGTGTCCTGATTCCACCCACACTGCACACAAGCTTTACTAAAAATACTGCTACCCATTTATCTAGCAAGGGTATGTGCTGACGGTAAGGTCAGATATTGACCCATTGTGCTGTCATCTGTTGTCATAGATTATTTCAATACTGCAAGTTCATTGGACTTGGAGCGTTATATTGGTTTACCCGAGAAAGGTGCAAAAGCCGGCAGGCTGCATGTATACGTTACGCTTTAAACAGTTTCGTCGAAAACAGACTCGTTGACAAATACGGCGCATTGGGTCGATTATGGCTCGTCATAACGTAGGTAGTGGTCAATGTCGCTTGTCTGAGCGATCGGTCCGATCGGTATGAATCTTTGTTGACAAAACGGCGCCGTTACGTACGGGCAGACTGGCATTCGTTCATCGTGGAACGTTCTCGTCTCTCATGTAGGACTGTGTTGTGATATTAATTTATCAGACAAGTGGAGAATAGCAGCATTCACTAAATGCAGCTTTCAGCAGAAGGTCAGCCAATGTTGAGGTGGCTCTCAGCTGTGGAGATCTGCAACACCAGCCTTTCCCGGCCTTAGTGAGAGGTTGGCACTTCGGGATAGATTCGCAATTTGGGTACACTCATATACCTCGATGTCATAATCGTCATCATTAATATTCTATATTTGGCCCGCGCCGTCTTTGTAGACCTAAAATTGGCTTCAGTATAATACATGGATCAATAAGGCGACAGTCGACAGGTGTGTGGTTCAATCACACCCACATTTCGATTAGGGCTGATCACAAAGTTTGCGATGCATGGCACATTTCTAAAAATGTAACCATATCCAAGATCCTTAGGCTGCAGTATGATTAACTGACATGCTTATACCATATAAGCACACATAATTGTTACTTATACTTATTGAACGTCAGACTACTAAAACCATAGACAACATGAATTATGTTGTCTATGCTAAAACATATTGAGCGTTTAAAGGTAGGTATACGGCTGTGGTGGTAACTGGTAGGCTCACTTCGCTCATCGTCGTTGTCGTTTTTTTCTGAGTTTGTAACAGCCCGCGTAATTGCATTCCACTTGCAAATGCAATATGGATTCTAATTGCGATGTTACAGTTCCATCACAGCTGCACTGCGACTATTTCTGTCATATAAACCGTCCCGTCGACCCCAGTCCGTACCAGTCATTTTCATTATACCGTCCCGCTGGACCCATATCTTACGGATCGAGCTGCTCCGTTGCTCTCTATACCTCTCTCCTCTGCCCTGGTCGGATTTACTGGCGCTATCGACTTTCCGCCAGCTCTGGGCCGGGGCTGTCCGACACCTCATGGTGGACAGCTCGTGACAGAAGGCCCACCCACTCCGCAGCATATTGTCACAGCAATCGATGTGTAGGCGAGGTGACAGGAGCGGACGGGCGGACGGACGGACGGACGGACGGACGGACGGACGGACACACCTGTGGCGTCAATGGCGGTAGTGACCGCGGAGAGCCACTGGCTGCGGCTCGATTGATCGCTTCCCCTCCCCCGCTCTATCGGCTGCCACAGCTGACCACTATAGCGATGGCGCTGAGCCTCCTGAGACCCCCGCAGATGTCTGGCGTTATGCCCAGACGCCGTCGCTGGGTGGTTCCTTGGGAGGGCTCGGCGAATGGACTGCCGGGGTGCGTGACTGCGGGGTGTTAGCACTAACGCTGACGTCGACCCGAGCCAACCACACCCTTCCGTGTCCAGGGAGGGGTGTCACTACGCAGCCTTCCGCCTCGGGAAGGGGTTGGTGCGTGAGGGGATGGGAATGTTCTAGAGGGTAATGCGTCCACCGAAGTTCACACTACGGATCTGTGCACGCTGCACACACATGGTCATGGATAAGGAATTGAGTTGCCAGTTGGGCGCTGTTGGATGGCAGGACAGAAGAACAGCATGTCTGTTCTGTAATGAAGCTTGTTGAGCGCCTCCTGCTGAGGCTGGAGTGTTGGTTTAACACACCACCCCCTGCGTTGGATATGGTCGAACTTGGAGCACCTATCGACCCACCGGGCGCGGTGTCTGTGCACGAGCCAGCAGCGAGTCGACGGTTACGGCACACACAGCAGTTCAATGCGAGTAAAAATACACCGCGTCATTAATCTATTACGGGCACAGCACGTGTAACCGTTGATGTAAGTGAGCTCGCGGTACTCAAGGTCGTCACGCAGGGCTCTGGTGAACTTTGTTTTCACTGTTGGACGCTATGGTTACGTGAAAACAGTAGATATACAGGTGGTAGTTGATTAGGGTGATTTGAGGAGCGGTGGACATTTGACGTCATAGGACATGATTAAGTTGGTGCTTCTGGACGTCGCTTATTAATAAACTGAATTGCGCCGTCTGCCGACCTGGTCTACAGGGGACATGGTGCTTACCATATGTTACCCAATAGCCATCTAGTCAATATTGCTATGCTAGGCTGCACCGGCCTTGCTTTGCCCGAATAGAATACATACAATATTGCCATGTTTGTGGTTCAGGTATTGGCAATGCTTTCTGAAGTTTTCGTTTTTTCATGTTCGCGATGCCCATCCTTTACCATCTCTGTCACCAATATTGACTCCACTGCTTACCTTTATTGTGCGTAATTCACCAACAAGCTCGTTTGGTGTATTTATTTACGTCTATACCCCGTTGTTCTGTGCCCACAGGCGGTGACACGGTCGCCCTGGAGCTGGCCAAACGTGTTCGAGTGCTTTGCTGGGTGATGACCCAGCCGGCCAACCACGAGAAAAAGGCACGACACGTCAAGGCCACCTGGGGCAAACGCTGCAATAAGCTCCTCTTCATGAGCACAGTGGAAGGTGAGAAAAAGGGGCGGCAGGAGGGTTACAGCGGGCGGGGCAGTTCATCCGTTTAGAGTGTATTTACCCAGTGTCAGATAGGGACAGTGGTTGGAGTAGTACTCGACACCAAGTCAGCGATGTGCAGGCATGTAGTGATTCAAAGGAGTGACTGAACGTTGGAAAAGTGCATTGGTGATGTCAATGAGAGAACATGCAAGCATGTCACATGTCTCACAAGCATTTCCTGATAATTGTAGACTCGTCCCAGCCAGATGACTGACTCTCCCTTCCCACTCTGTCCGTCCGCCACCATCTCCCCTGTCTCTGTCACCGTCTCCCCAGCTCTCATCACTCTCTCCCCTCCCTCCCCTCCTTCCCCTCCCTCCCCCTCTCAGCGCCCCGCTCCCCGCTCCAGTCTGCACCGCTCTACTCGGCTCGAACCCCGACCCGCTCCGGCCGGCCAACTCGGCGTCGATACCGGGTTGCCATGGCAACTGCCGACGGCGCCTGAGGCGTCTGCCTGCAGTGCACAGCGCTGGCGGCGGCGACCCTGTAACAGGTCCCCCTGACGCCCTGACGCCGCTGTCGCATACGGTCTCGATATGTATGGGTTCCTGTAATTGTATCGGAATCGCTGCCCTGGGGATGGGATCACTCCATTGACCATAGAACTGGGGATCTACATACATGTTTATTCTTTTTTCTCTTTTTTTCGGCCACATGTAAGACCGGGGATTCTGCGACGAATGGGCATTGTGATAGCACTGCATGACTTGCCTATAAGAGGAGAGGATATATTTCGGGCTTCGTACTGTGTAGTTTTACACCCATGCAGGGAAATCTGATGGTGAGGGTAGCTCAGACGGTACCGACTCTGCAGTCTGCATGGAGTGTTATAGATAAGGTGGAGAGTAAGTGCAGAGCAGTAAGTGCAGCGTGATAACAGTGAGAGTGTTAGACTCAAGAACAGCCAATAACTACATAGGGCTGGGCCGCCGTGCAAACAGTTGTAAGTGCCACGCACCCCTGTCATCATATCGCTGTCGTTGGACAATTAGTGTGTACTGTGTAAGCTAGCTCTCGGGAGACGATGATGACATCCCTCTGTGCATTATGAATGGACTGAGAGGTCATGGATAATGAATACAAACATGGTCGTAGCGATAGATAGGAGCGAAGCGGTCAGCATCCTCGGTTATTTTTAGAGCAATGAATTATTATTCGCCCCACCCTGAGCGAACAATATCCGATATAATGCAATTTTCCGTTTACGATGACCGTGCTGGCCGCTCCTAGCCGACTTTTATAGCTATCCCTGTGCGCCAGTTGTGTGCTATAGCTCTACCATATAGCTGTGATAGTTGTGCCACTGTTATCAGCATGTGATAACCCTGGCTCGGCGGCGCACTTCGTGACAGTCGCCGGAAATTCTGAGGCGCCATAAAATTATATGGGCTGTCCTGAGGGCTGTTCATGACGGCGGCTTCTTTCCACACCGCTCTAGATTCATTAAGTCGGAGCTCACGTCGCTGTCACATTTCATAAGCCAGAGCTGACGATATAAGCAGCTACCCCACTCACAGATAGCCAGAGCATCATATGATTCCGAAACTATGCGTGTGATCTGACCAAACCGTATAGACAGGTGCACCTGGGGTCTAGGTGATCGCCCTGTCATGACACCGCTGTGAAAAGTGAAGACCCACCCTAACGATTTGTCAACCCATGTAACCTGGCCCAACGTAGTGATCTGAACTAACCATGCGACTTGATCTGACCTCGTAAGCTGACCCGACCCGTGACTTGACCGGCGGATCCGACCTGAATCGATGACCTGCTGCTGTTATGACTTAAATCAATACTTTGGCCTAGCCCTCTAATGTAACTCGAAACCTTACCCTTGATCGATGATCATACCCCACTGCTCGATATGACCTGTGACCTCACCTGACCCGTTGACCTGCCCTCAGATCCGGAGCTGCCGTCAGTGAAGCTGGACGTCGAGGAGGGCCGCAACTTCCTCTGGGCCAAGACCAAGGAGGCGTTCCGCTACGTGTATGAACACCACTGGGACGACGCCGACTGGTTCTTCAAGGCGGACGACGACACGTGAGTGGCGAGGGGTCAGGTCAGGTCACGGACGGGCGCGAGTCGACTGGTCCTGTGGGGGACGCGAGTGGAAGTGGGGAAAGTGAACAGAGGTGCCGTTACAACTTCCGAATTATAGAAGGAACGGGTGAGGTGAGATGTATGACAAGTCGCCAGATGAATGAGGCAAGATTATCTTGGTGAAACGATAAACCGCAGGTATAAACAAATGCCCATAGACTCGTGAAAAAAAAATGAGACGTGGTGTCTCACCGGGCAAAGGAGCTCGTTTGGGAATAAAACGTTGACACATCAATCCTCAACTTTTAATTTCCCAAATATAGTCCACTGAAAGCAGCTGACAATTATACATTCCATGGTCCCATGGTGCAAATATAAATTAGTACATAGTCCATTAGTCGTTCTCCAGTGTTGTCAAAATGAAGTCGTTCTTTTCTTATGAATGCTTGACTTTGTACAATGTACAGCGTACCTAGTGACAGACACGGTTAGGTTTCCTAGTCAGACAGCACGGCGACTGGGCCGCTTTGGGACCCGTCACGGGAGCGTTCCTGTGGCTTCTATCGCACAATTTATTGCCGCGAAAAGTTGGGTCGGATTTATCGCTGCTATAATTTTCTTAGCCGCTAAACGCCCGTGTTACCCAGCCTAGTCAACGTGACCACAGAGTTAGTAAAGTTTAATGGATCCCCTCTTTAGCCACCACGGACGGTATCAATTATGTCTATAGGTTTAGCGGTTGGTGTGTCTGTTAATCCGGTGCCACTCTATTCGGATCACGTGTGACGTTATCCGGTGTCGGCGACACGGTGGTCCGCGCGGCGGCCCGGCCGATAATCCCTCATTATGGGGCGACAAGTGCGGCCGAGCGACTGGGGATACTGGGGCCGTGGTGATACACTGGGTAACACGGCACCGTGGTGATACAACGAGCCTGGTGATACACAGGGCGACACCGAGCCGTGATACACCAGATACATGCGGTGACGGGACATAATACATTCATACATTATACGGCACCGTGTACACGGGATCACACTGGGCTGTACACTGACACACTGAGTGATGCCGGGCTGTGGCGATAAAACGCTGCCGGTTTTCAAGAGACAACACGGACTTTGAAGCTTTCGATAGGTGAATAAAAATACTGCAGACTGGCTGATGGTGTCACCTTAGCGGTGAGATTCGTGTCTCTCTGACAAGTCTCATAGCCCGTATGACTGGTCAGACCTGTCAGTTTGAATTCCATATCCGATCGGTCAAAGGAAGGAGGCCGGAGGGCCTGTTGGGAGGCCGTCTATCCAGGTACCCGTGTGAGGTCCAGTAGCGTTATGGTCGTAATTCTTTTTTTCAGTTGATGCATATAATCACCGTCACAGATCTTTGTGTTAGCAATGGCAGGTAACGGTATGTGGCTCGTGTTTATATTCACACCTAGGTATGCCGGTTTCATTATTTATTGGAGAGACGCTGTCCTGACCCAAAAATATTGATGCGGTCAGGAGAAAACCTGGCGAATTTATTCTTGTTTCCTGTTTATTTCCTGTCACCTTAAGCGGTCATCGATGTGGCATCGATGGCATTAGCTAGTTCTATACGGACGCCCAAATTCCTGCAGGTTGCCTCCGTCAGCTAACTTCCTGGTGACTGCACTCTCATCCAGGACGCTCAGCTGCTACGACTTGCAGCGTTCAGCCAACTCCTTAGCCAGTAGTTCCTCCCATCCACTGTGCTTACTACCGCACCGCGGCAACTGCAGCAAACTTGTACCCCTTCGTCTCTCATGGCGCTAAGCACAGAGATGCTTTTTCTTCAATGACAGACGCTGCCAATGTCCACCATCGCCCCCGGCGAGCAGTAGAGGTCACCCAAACACGCTGGGAACCGGCACACCTGTGTAGAACAGTGCCCAATTGTTCACACCCGGCGATGACGTGTCATCAGTCTCTGCCGCGTTCCTACGACCTCCACTCTGGTGGGTGGCAGAGTGCCAGACATGCCGACTGGCAACGCTCAGTCTTGAAATTGAAAAGTATTGAGTAGGTGAGGCATAAAACTCGTGCAGTCAGCAGCGTCTTCCTATTGCGGCGGTCTGACAGTCGTATTGATCGGAGATGTTGCCGCCGGGCGATGAGGCCGTTGACCTCTGACCGGTCGTTCTCTGGGGCCGGTAGTGCCGTGGTTATACGGCCGTGGTCCACTGGTTTACGTTCTGTCTGCTCCGCACGCCGAGACGGAGCGCCACCCCGCGGTAAGAAGCGTGCGTGGACACGCTTCTTACGATCGATCAATGGCGGGGTGGAGGCAACTAAATGATTCAGTACGGACGGAGTTTGCCAAAACACACCGGCGCTTTGGACCACTAAGTGATGGCACTTTGTGGTCTCTTTATACGTGTTGAAGGCCCGATTGTTGTGTTAGTAAAAGCGAGCCCATTTAGCAAGTTCCTTCCGTGCCTCTCTTCGGGTGAAAAGGCGTAGCGAAATTGAGTTGTTGACTCGATCGATGGCTTCATTTTTCATTAAAAAGTGTTGTAGTTGAGTCCTCTCCCTTGTAAAAAGCGCGTCTACCATATGAATTTTACCTCGGTCTCCTTGCCATGCATATCATCAGCAAGTGTTTTAATATATACGGACTTAGACGTATATAGAATTGGGCAGCCTGAAACTAACAGGACATTAAACTTAAATGGTACATAAACGCTCTCGTCGTCCTGGCTGCGGTATCTATTGCTGAAGCTCGATATTCTACCCTACTTCAGCGCCCGCCCATGCCAAGCTTCTCCGCTCACTGTGGTCAAATCCTAGCGCTAAGCTTCGCCTTCCTTCATGCTTAGCGCTAGGACGAACTTTGCTCAAGACGCTAGCTTCGTCTTGATCTCCACTCATCCATCTGAATTTCTGCTCGGCGTACCCGCGCTGCGCTCCTTCTGTCCACCGTCCTAGCGCTGATTTTCTGTCCTCCGGCAGGTACGCTGTGATGGAGAACATGCGGTTCCTGCTGGAGCCTTACCCGCCACAGCACCCCATCTACTTCGGCTGCAAGTTCAAGCCGTTCACCAAGCAGGGATACATGAGCGGCGGCGCAGGTAAGGCGGGGCCGAGGCTGAAGGGGGAGGGCAGGTCTGGGAAGGGTAAGGATATGAGATGTTGCATGACGTCTGTGAGTGTAGGCATTGGCCTTTTGTTAGCGCGTTTAGTGCTGTGATTTGTGTACCTACCAATAATGGTTACGTCTTTAACGACAAGGCATTGGAGGTGACCATACCTTTATGGTTATGTCCTTATGATATTCGACAATGGCCGTGGTAGCATTAGATTCGGGTTAGCCGTATGTAGACGCTTTATACAGACTAGATAGTTGATATGTCTGGGGGGACACCGTGTTATGGCAAGCATTTCTGTAGAATACGGTAATGGGGGCAATAAGTCCAACTGTACCTACGTCATAAGACACTGTAATCGATTTGATCGTGCAATTTACGTGAGGCATGTGCAATGTTTATGTTGTGTGGATTTATTTGTTCCACATACTGTGTACCGTTTATGGTTGTGCTGGCCCTTCCACTTCCCGATCACGGGCGGTGTCATTAGGATTTGGGTTCACGTCCTGTGTGGGATTTACGACCTATTGTGGCTTTAAAAAAGAGGTGCTGGCTAAACTGTCGTGCTTCACCAGCACATGCCCCGCTAGTGGTCGCGCAGGTGGCAGGCTGTTGGCACTTGCGGGATCTTGCCACGCCCTTTTCAGTCGGCCAGTGTCCACTGTCCAATGCCTACCTAGTCCTCTAATTCAGTCCAGCCCAGGGATAATCTTTTGGAGGGAAAGCGAACTGTCCTATTCAGTACTCTGTCTGTCTATTATAATAACTCACCGTACTTCACTTCGCATCGCCTCCCACCAGGTTACGTGCTCAGCCGTGAGGCCCTCAGACGGTTTGTCGAGGTCGGACTGAAAGACCCGAAAAAATGCAGGAAGGATCACGGCGGAGCAGAGGACGCCGAAATGGGTGAGTTGCTGCTCAAAGTGCAACTACGTAGAGCTACAGCTGACAGCGTGGGCTATCTGCCATCTGAAGAAAGCTCAGTCGCCGCCTGTAACAGTGCCCTGAATAGGACTTTGCTACATATCGACGCGTTTTTTCCCGAACCCCACATCTCTTGGAAAATCGCGCCGATATATTACCGCTCACTGCGGACCTGTTCGGTATCCGCTGATATATTATTTAATGGCGTTACTTCACCACCTCCTGCCGTGTTCGTCCCAGGGAAGTGCATGGAGAAGCTGAACGTCACGGCCGGAGACAGTCGGGACGCCCAGGGACGGTACCGGTTCTTCCCTTTCACTCCGGAGAGTCACCTGGTAGCGGAGAAGTTCCCCAAGAATTTCTGGTACTGGAAGTACGTCTTCTACCCCCAGCCCAGGGTGAGTGAGTGGGCGGGAGGGGGCAATAGTAACGGTTGAGGGTCAGGGGATGCCGGGGCCTGATGATTGCTATGAACGTTAGCTCAGATGGCGATTGGCTATCGGAGGGCTGCGGACACAGTTCAAAGATAGGACGTGGGATGCAGACGGGGCGGGATAGTTGCAAACCGTACAAAACATTGAACTGTTAAGCCCGATAGTTCGGAAAGTTAGGCTATTACATGGCCTGAGGAAGCATGGGCCTGTCGACGTCATTTTGAATACAAAATAATGAAATAGGGTCCAGTTTCACAATGAGACTGTCGTAGGCGTGACTATCCTGTCCGGAATCCGAATCTGGAACGGTTGCATCCGACGGACACGGGCCCTCGGACATTGAGGTCCATTTCATTCATCATCGGACGGGGGGTCAGCAGTGGCTGTTCAGTTGATAGACCTATCGACCTGTGGGCCGACAAGGATTCTCCATCTGTCAACAGCAGATGAACCCACAAACTGGCTGAAGTTGATGCATGTCGTGTTCTTCTTGGGAAGTTTGTTCGCTTAGACTGAGCCCGTCCACTTTTTTACAAGTTTGTGCTAAGTCTGATTGTTGGATACTATGTAGTTTGATGAAATTTGATGAAGCTCAAAAGTTTGATTTATGATTTATTGTCCGAGCAACTGTTACCATCACAGTTTTTCCTCACTATTTTGTCACGGACTCCCAGCAACCGAAACATCCTCGTGAAACGAAACATTTGGGGTGCCGAAGCGACGAGGTCGACGAATCCCTCAGAAAGGAGACGCTCTGTCAGCTGATAACGAGTGACTGCAGCTGTTTAGGAAGACGTACCCGAACATCAACATTTGTTGGATCAGGTTTTCGTTGTCATCCACATAAAAAATAAATGCTTCAATTATACCAAAACTCGTTACAAGGCTATTCAAAATGTGAGCACACTAACCCAAATGCCGTTCAATGTCCCGCATGCGAGAAAAAATAAACGTGATGCCGTGCGCTCTATACAACCATTTAGTCGCCTGGTCCTAGCACCCTCATCAACAGTCGTTAGGTTTCCATGACAACTGTCGCCGGTCTGCACGGAAGTTATCGCCTCGTCGTGCCGCCGGCCGCGGCGATGATGTGACCCCACCCGAACACGGTCACCTATTATTTCCATTACCCCACCAATAGGGCCTGTTTATAGAGGTCCCCGGCGTGGGCGCAGAGCACGTCAGCGAACAGCAGACATCGATAATGTACCTACAATCGACCTGCCCACGACACCACGCCATAAGCCGTTGTTCGGTACATTGCGATAATTATTGTTAGGTGCTTAGATTAGGTCCTGCAATTTGCGGGCATGCTGCTGAATGACCGGTGACCTTTAGGTGTGCCGTGCAGCTCATACATGACATCATCCAGGCATTTTCTAAAGCTGGCTTCTGTGGTCCGTAGGTGAATGACCTGAAGCCTGAGTTGTATTATTGACGTCATCTTATTAATGTATGTTTTTGCCGCCAATGCCATTGAGCGTTATGAAAGTGTCTCGCGACAGCGTTGTTGTATGTACATAGGTTGCCACTCCCATTCATTCCCACCTCTTACTAGCTACAATTCCCACTGACGCCGTCCATCGCCTGCCCACAGGGCATGGACTGCTGCTCCGACTCGGCCATCAGTTTCCACTACGTGCCGCCCAACATGATGTACACCATCGAGTACCTCATCTACCACCTGAAGCCGTACGGCGTGCGCACCCGTCTGATCCCCGCTGCCCCGCCGGACTCGGCCGTCATACCGCCGGGGGTCCACTTCCCCACACCGCCGACTACCGCGTCACCTATTGGCAAGACGACCGTACCAGAGGTTCCACGACACACCACCAGGGCGGCGGTCAAAGCGGCGAGCCCGCACGCAGCTCCGAAGACGACGGCTGGGAAACGGTTGACGACTCCGGCGGCGCGCACCAAACGCTCCGTGAGCATGCTGCCGTCCAGGAGGCCGACGGGAGGGTCTGCGAAGCCTCGACGGCCCACCGAGGCGGCGGCGGGTCGCAAGACGGCGACCCCCGGCGCCCCGGCTGAGAAAAAGGCGCCCACAGTCTGGACTGCAGGGCCGACGGCGGCCGCATCCCAACCCCCAGCGGCAGGGAAGGATTCCGGAAAACCAGCGGCGAAAGGGGCATAGCCGGGAGATAGCACTTCGCCGTACTGCACTTAGAACGTGTCCGCTGGAAACTGAAGCGGTTATCCTCACCAGGAGGAGCTCGAGCAATGGACGTTCAGCCGAAAACTAGTCGGTCCTTGCCAAAAACAGGCCAAAGGGCGGTCTGCGGGGACATATCCCGGTCGGTCATATGGACGACAAGGAGATCGTTAGGTCCTAAACTAGTATGTTGAGCCGTGCTGGTCACGAGGTGTGTCGGAAGGCCGACATTCGACGCCAGTCAGGCCGTGGACGCCGCATTGGCCGCGGGGCTGGAACGGCCAGTTGGTCTCGGGGCTGTGGTAGGGTGATGCTAATTCGGAGTTACCATACAGTGATATTTGTGGGGATGAGGGATGGCGATGTGTAAACGAACTTTGTGTGCGTGTGTGATAACGTTAGAATGGGTACGTCCCCATTTTTGTTCGTCTCAAAACCATTGAGATGACTACAGGCAGCTGCCATATGCTTTTAAACAACAATCCCAATTATTTTGGGAATTCGAGTAGCACAAACGTGACATTCCCAGTCATTGACACGTTGTTCGCTCCGTGTTTTTAGTCTATTTCCATTCCTTGACAAACGGGTGAAATTAGGGAGTGAAGACAGTGAATGTGCTGATCTCGAACGATTCGTGATATCGTTGATAGTCATGCCAGCGGAGACATGCGCACACCGAATACGTGCCCTTAGTGAACAGAACATTCCAGAACATGTGATAACCGACTGTCTGCTTCTACTACGCACACCGCTAACGATGTCGGAATGAGTCCATCCCGCGGTCACCGGAGCAGCGCTGCTAAATTAGTTCGTGTGAAAACTTCCCGGTCCGAGCGAGTCTGAACAGCCTACGCAGCGCAGTTGTCCGCGGAAAACTCTGCTGATTTACATGTTACCAACGACTTTCCGAGGCTTTGAAGCTCCTGACGGAATTTCCGATGAAACAGCCAATGCTACCATGCTCCATGTGCTTCGTCGCTAGGATTGGCACACAGCCTCGTGGGTTTTATTTATGCCAGTACCAGCGGCAGCCACACGAAGTACCGAGTGCTGCGTTTGTCCTATGTGCGCCTGTGGTGAACGGGCGCCGGCATGGCGGAAAGTGAGAAGATGAGTAGGTACCGTGACGTGATCGCGCCCATTTTACAAATGAATTGTGCCAAAGGCGCGCGATGGCCCACTCCGATGCTGGGGAAACAGTGTGTGATATGCGTCGCGGTGGCACTTGTGTCACTATCGAGTCGGGTTGTACTTGCAGAGCATCATCAGGCTGATGTGTGGGGTTCGTCCGACCTGTCCACCGAATGCCACTCTGGAACTAACACCGTGCTGTGTTGTGAGTCCCACCTCGCTGGGTGAATTCAGGGGCTCGTGGCACGGTTACCCTAGAAGTGTCCGTCAGTCCTGTCGTGTGTGGTAGGCTGTCTGGGGCGCGCGGGGCTGCTTGGAAACGGTGTTGGGAAGCGCAATGGGAATCCACAAGGGGCGGGAGGAGCCGTGTGTTTTATAAACAGATAACGGGTGCAGTGCTGGGTGGGCGCCATTGGCGACTGTGTGCGCGTTACGGTTAGCCGCGCGGGCGCTGCCAGGCGTGACGTGTCCACATATCAATAAATTGCTTGTCTGAAGTATGCATTATTGTGGTTTATAGGCGTCAGCACCTACTCAGACGGCACTTTTTGGAGAGGAAAATTCGATCACATTCTAACAATGCCGATCCTGTGTGCACAACAGGAGTCAGGAAGGTGTTCTAACATGTGTTCCGCCACAGTTCCGAGCCTGGCAAAGCCCCCCCCCCCCCTCCCCCCAGGCAAAAATTGACTCGAATCCCTAAAGGCTGAAACAGACTTTGCGCATACAGGAAATCCCATGCGAGAGCCTATTCAATTCAAATACATTATAATTCTTCCCGCATCAATCGCATGCGGGAGGTGCGTGCGATTGATGCGAGCGTGCTTCCATGTATTTTAATAGGCTCTCGCATGCGATTTCCTGACTGCAGAAAGAGTCTGTTTCAGGCTTAACTCTCACTCCTTCCCCTCACTGCGATGGTGACGCGGGTCTAGCTACAACAAAATAAAGTACAGATGCAAGTAACAGCCCATCCAGAGGCTGAATAAACAAGTACAACAAAACAAATAGTACGAAAACTAACTTTGAACAGGCCACATCGCCTAACACGTGAACACATGTGACACGAGCCCTCTCCCCTCCCCCTCATTTCCAATCAACAGACCTGTGTCTCCCGGAACCCGATAACAGCTCTTTGATAACATGTTCCACATTCCTCTATTTCGGGAGAGGAGACCGGAGGCGGCTCTTCAGAGCCGACAACACATACCAGCGGTTCGTTATCGGTCACAAAAACACTTCCCGGTCCAGAACAGCGACAGAGTTTGTCCCCCGACCCAGTTTCGCCGTTGTGTGCGCGATGATGCGTGTTCTTGTGTGCATAGTTCCGCTAGTCCAGGCGTGTGTGTTAGTGCTCCCGCCAGAGTTAAGCGTTGGCCGTTGCTCTCAGGACGCGACAAAATGGGCACAGGGCGGAGCCTTCGAGTAAATGCATTCCCATAACATCCGCACGATTGCGAGTCGCGACAGTCCCCGTTCAATGACTGGTGTATTAAATACATATATCAGGGGAGTAGCACGACATCACATGCACACAAACACCAACACGATACCGGTCGATCTGACGGGAACCTCCGGTACCATTCTCAACACAACACACATACACCTCGGAGGCGAAATAGACGCTCACACACTCGAAAAACGATCACCATAATGCCGTCTCATCAGTCGGGCGGGGCCGACCTGCCCATTTCGATATCGCACATTCATTATGAACAAGCAGGGATTGATGAAAGAGTTTGATTAGAGTCCCGTTAGGCTAAATCTTTTTTGATTACAACACTGTTAAAACATATTTAAATCGATATAATATAATGCTCGTTCGATATTGACTAAGTTAATAAATTTTCACTTTTGTAGTCATGCCCAATTCAGCCTAATTTTGGCAGTAGTTCCCTGTACTCCGGTACCGGTAATTCAGTCAACGACAACCACAGCATAATTGGACACTAGGGCAAACGAAGAACACATAATTCCAGCCTCAGTTCAAACAAATCCCAAGCAGTTACATTGTGTGAATTATGCGAAACGAGCATCTGACTGATAAGAAACGTAAGTTTTTATTTGAAAGAAGTTACACGGTTTCGTCGGGATATGCAGGGAAGTATGCGATGATAAGATACTACAAAAAAAAGGAAGCGGAAAATACGGTACATAGTCGATAAGAGTGGTAAATATACAAAATTACCTCGAACGTACCTCGAGTACGGAACCGATCCCATCATTTAACCGCATTAATTGCGCTCAAAATAAACAGAGCACCGCAGACATACATACATAGGGTTTACGCAACAGCTACGGTAAATCGCATGATTCGGCGTGTATCGATCAGTAAAGCTATGTTCATGCCATTCGCGGGATGTTAGTTACCAGCTCATGGGGGAATAGAAGGCGGCAGGCGCAGCGGGTTCGCTGGACTATTGGCAAGCAGCGGTACATATCAAACTATCACAAACCGACTTACAAACAATAATGACCACGGACGCCTGAAAGAACTCACACTTGCCCAACATCAGCTGGCTAGGCACGACGTTTATCTATAATAAACTTAAACATGCACTGAAATATTTGTAGCGTACCAGTAATTCATAGCTCAGGATTAGTTGGTAATCAAAAGGGAGCGGTACCTAACATCTAATATTAAATCGGAGGTGCAAGGACTACGTATCATCACTGTAATAAGATATTTAGGTAACGGTTGAAATATTAAGGAAATCACGCATGTAGTTTGTGCATGAAGAGTCACGTTATAATTCTGATTATATTAAAACAGACTTGAAGTCTGGCGAAGGCCTTGCCTTGATAAATGGTACGCTACGTACTTATAAAAAAACGAAAGGCTTTGAGTAAGCAAGCGTCATGTAAAGAAAAGGCAAAAGTCGCCGAATGAAGCACAGTGCGGATAGGAAAATGTTAAAGCATCGTGCAATAGGACAAGAGAGAACAAACTAGATTTGAATGGACTTCTAGCATCACTATCAATATCTATTTCTTCGAAAGTTTTGGAAGAAAGCCTACGGAAAGCTCTTGATTCATGCAGGCCCTAATGCTAAAATCAGCGCGCACGGGGACCAGTATTAGCTGACACCCGGTATCTACTGAAGTAGCAGCATGACTCCACAAATAAATATCGCAGCCGACCTACAGTCGGCGCCCCGAACACCTGGGCCCATCCTATTGTGAAGCTCTGCACGTTACGGCGTTTGGTGACACCAATAGTCGAACACAGCAACAGGCGCCGCTCACAGAGCACTTAGGAATGGCCCCGTAACTTCAAACGCGAAAAGCACAGCATGTGGAGCACCATTGCGTAAACAAACACCATGCTGAGATAGCTTTAACGTAAAACCAGCGCGTGGCAAGCAACACGGCACGGGAATAGTCAGGTCGCGCGCCGCTGTGGCCCCTCCCCGCTCAGTTGTGCCGTGGCATGTAGTGTAATGTCCCCAGACGATATGGTCTCAAAGTGGCGTGCCCACTGAAGCACCACGTCACCCGGTGGCGCTCAGGAACAACCCTCAGCGCTGATGCCTGACGGAGCCTGCCTATTTTAAATCGTTCTCAGCGCCATTTTAACCTCCGGTGGCGCCACCTTTAGCTTCCTGGCGCCATCTACCGTTAACAGCGTTGGCTCTCGGATACCGCTGACCTGCGCGCTCGTGTGCGGTTGGCTGCTCTGAGACGGGAGTCTAGCGGCCGCCCGACTTGGACTTGGTGATGAGCCACTGCAGCGTGATGTCGATGTTGTCCTTCTCCTTGCAGGAGATGGAGTAGCAGCAGATCTCCCGGTCCTGGATCGCAGACAGGTTCCTGAAAAAAAAATAACGCGTCATGATTGACATTTCAGCAGATGGATTCACAAGCACCGCTGATGACGCATAAAAACTGCATTAAACACGCAAGTGACGAGCGTGAAAATGTCAGCAATGTTATTTATGCTTATCGGAATCAACTATCAGTTATTTTAGCGAGAAGCGGAACAGAATATGTGTAGATCATGATTATCAAATCTTATCCACGTTCAAAACCAGTATCAGATACGAACGCGCATACAAAGTCAACTACCGCACCGCCCCCCCCCCCCCCCCCCCGTTTGTCGACTACGGTTGCTCGGCGCTGACGTAGCCACTGAACCATCTACCCTATATCGATTATCGGCGCTCCACATTTCGGATGAGTCATCGAGCCTGCACAGCCACTAGCGTCCGTGTGAATAACGGACACCAAGACCTAGACTTCAGTAACAGCCGGCATATCCTTCTCACAGACACCCAGAACCAGGCCTTAAAGGCTTTGCTTTAAAAGTTTGATGTCTCAAAGTTGCGAATGGATAAGCAATTGATTACGGATGAGTTTTGTAGTGTGTGCCCCTCTAGCTGGCATGAAGAAGGAAATTCGTATATCTAAGGTAAAAATTCATATACCATATATAGGCATTAAAAAATCATATATAGGTATATTTTTCTACTTGGATTTATCACAGACAAGCCCCTGTCGTTAATAGCCTGATAAGAACAACTCCTGACAACTCCTCGAACAACTCCTGACATTAGCACAACAGGTCCAAAATTATATTACGTCAACTAAACGTTTTTAATGACATCATGTACACCCTCGTCTGTAGTTCTGGGAACCCCTGGCACTGCTGCTGCCGGCTGCTGATCCATCTTTATTACTGAGCGGGTAAAAGTAACCACACCTACACGAGCGGCGGTCAACAAGTAGTCAATAAATGAATAAGTAAGCAAACACATAGATAATAAGGTAAAAGTGTACCTACGAAATCAAAATGCTGATTAAGCAAAAGGCGCCATGAATCAAGTGCTAAGGCACTTTTGCGCCAATTGCATGTTCATCTTATTTTTATTTCTGTCCATTTATGTTTGTAATAAAATTCGTTGTGTGTGTGTGTGTGTGTGAAAGAACGGGAGATGACTGGAAAAAAATGATGAAATAAGAACAGCGCTGGATGGAGCTGATAGGCAGATAACTGATATTGCATCATTTACAGCGCAATATGGATTGGATAGCTTACGGAATAAACAGTGACGCAGTGCTGCCAAACATGACGTTGAGAGATGTCTGAAACGACAGATAAATACTTATGCGAGTATTAACTCTCAGTACTTATTACCTTATGAATAAACTCTCAGTCGGCTCGGCGGCGTCCGGACGGAAGACATTCATCGGTACACTCACATCCTCTCGATGAGCCCCTTCTCGTCCAGGGCGTTGGGCAGGTCGCGCTTGTTTCCCAGCACGAGCACAGGGATGCCAGCCAGCTGCGGCTTGTCCAGCAGGTTGTGCAGCTCGTTCCTGGACGCTTCCAGCTTCTCCTGGTCGGCAGCGTCCACCATGTACCTGCGCGTGACGACCGCAAGAGCTGGGTGAGACTCGGAGAGAGAGAGCGACTTACGCTCGCTGACGCGGTTAGAACACGAAACATATGGGTATCATGTTTGGTCAATGTGCTAGAATGGTGGTACAAAAAAATGCACAT